GGAAAGCATTGCCAATGTGACTTTCTATATTATTAGTGTGAATGTCACTGATGTCAAATCTGTTATGAAAATGATGTATGGATTGCAATGTTTTGTGATTTTTATTATCCTACAACAAGATACCAGAAATTATATTTACTATTTTATATTGGTTGTATGACCATCTTATAATTCTATACAAGATTGGTTTCATTTTTGTTTGCTATCACTCAGTAGCTTTTTCCCTGGACACAGTAGATTTTTACCCTGGACACAGTAGCTCTATTCCCTGGACACTGTAGTTTTCCCCTGGACACAATAGTTTTTTCACTGGACACAGTAGTTTTTTCCCTGGACACTGTAGCTTTTTCCCTGGACAAAGTAGCTTTTTTCCGGGACAAAGTAACATTTTCCCGAGACACAGTAGCTTTTTCCATGGACACAGTAGTTTTTTTCCCTGGACACAGTAGCTTTTTCCCTAGACACAGTAGTTTTTCCCTGGACACAGTAGCTTTTTCCCTGAACACAGTAGTTTTTTCCCTGGACACGATAGTTTTTTCACTGGACACTGTAGTTTTTCCCCTGGACAAAGTAGCTTTCTCCCGTGACACAGTAGTTTTTTTCCCTGGACACAGTAGCTTTTTCCCAAGACACAGTAGTTTTTCCCTGGACACAGTAGCTTTTTCCCTGGAGATTTTTTTCACTGGACACTGTAGTTTTTCCCCTGGACAAAGTAGCTTTCTCCCGGGACACAGTAGTTTTTTTCCCTGGACACAGTAGCTTTTTCCCCTGGACACTGTAGTTTTTCCCGGGACACAATAGTTTTTACCCTGGACACTGTAGTTTTTCCCCTGGACACAATAGTTTTTTCCATGGACACAGTAGTTTTTTCCCTGGACACTGTAACTTTTTCCCTGGACAAAGTAGCTTTTTTCCGGGACAAAGTAACTTTTTCCCGGGACACAGTAGCTTTTTCCATGGACACAGTAGCTTTTTCCCTAGACACAGTAGTTTTTCCCTTGACACAGTAGCTTTTTCCCTGAACACAGTAGTTTTTTCCCTGGACACGATAGTTTTTTCCCTGGACAAAGTAGCTTTTTCCCGGGTCACAGTAGCTTTTTCCCTGGACACTGTAGTTTTTTTTCCTGGACACAGTATTTTTTCCCTGGACACAGTAGCTCTATTCCCTGGACACGATAGTTTTTTCCCTGGACACATTAGTTTTTGCCCTAGACAAAGTAGCTTTTTCCCTGGACACTAGTTTTTTCCCTGGACACAGTATTTTTTCCCTGGACACAGTAGCTCTATTCCCTGTACACAGTAGTTTTTTTCCCTGGACGTGTGTATCCATACTTTTAACAAGGTTTCCTTGTCTCACAGAAAGGTGAAAGTAGGGGTATTCTGAATCCATATGTTATACCTGAGGTAAGAACTGTGACTTAGGTTTTGAACTCAAATTTTACACCTGGAGGCAAAATACCTGTATCACACAAACATACATAATGATGGACCAAATATGTTAAAATACAAAAAATGACAATGCAAATACAATATCAGATATACAAATCAACTAAAACCTGTTGTAGAAAGAACAGTAAAAATGTGCAATATACCTTTGGCTAAACCTTTTTTTACAACAAGTTTTGTAGTAATTTCTATAGACCAAGAGATAATAATGTGACATCATTTGATTGTGATGTCATATTAATGAGTGCACCCAAATTAACCCTTGAGGAGATATCAGAGTCCTTCAGCATACCTTTTGTTATCAACAATTCTTTAAATTTTGTAACACGGCCATCTCAGCAATGCCAACAATTTTACACATCTGAATCTACATCTACATAAATAATGGCTGCCTTCTGCTATTTGAATATCATGTAATGTAATAGCTGTGGTGCTGGAGGCGAATATAAGGAGATTAAAGATAGTAAATGAATATTCATGAGAGGATAGTTTGAAGCAGTCAGAAGAGGTAATGGAAGTCATGTCCAAATTATATAAATAAAAGGACCAACCAAGGTCATTAACCTCTGCATTGAATAGTTAAAAGAAATAAAGTTTTGGTAAAGAATATTACATTCCTGACTCTGAATGACTTGGGTGAGGCTCGATGAGAGGGGATCAGCATGATCACAGGTTATATACCCTCATAGTATTAAGTCCTCACTTTTGATTTTGTCATCTATAAATGTGGGCGAGATATTTACTGAGGTCACTGCCTTCTTATCTTAAATGATAACATTTACATGCTCCAATGATATTTGCCCATTTCTTAAGGTTTTATTTTTCATACATTGTCGATCAACTTGGGTAAATTAAAAGGAACCTAACTGAAGGTATCAATACTGAAGAAGTTAATTGTGTGTTTCATGACATATTTGTGACATGCTTCATGTGTATAGAAATATTTGTCAACAAATGGTGTATAATGTGCCTGGTATATAATCACACTTTGGTGTACTTTATGCTGATCGATCATGATAATGTCTTTATTTTCAAGATTAAATACATGATATAACATTTTAATAGACAACTTGATATAAAAGAAAGGTTTGAGGTAGCACTAATCTTATATTAAAGTTGTTGTAATCAGAGATTAACCAATCTTAACATTTTATTTGATGTATGTGCAGAATAGCTGCCGGTGCATAAAATCTGTTTACGTTTGTATAAAGTTGCTCTATTTGTAGAAATATTGGCTATTTATAGTACTACTGGGAATGTGTACAAAACATTTCTTGTGTTTATGATGAAGTAGTATTTTCCTCATGTGTGTAACTTGCACTGTAGTTCAGATTTCCCACGAGTGTAGTTGTTATAGCTACATGTGAACTACAAATATGTATGCCTGTGTATACTGGTAGTTTGATATTTTGTATGATAATATATCTGGTACATTGGAATCTAACCTGTGCATGTGCAGGACCTGTTCAGTAGGTGTTATCAGTGGACCTTACTACATTTTATACCTGTACCTGTCAGGTAGGCTGATGCAAGTGTTCCATACAAAGGAAAATATTTGAACTGTACGCTACTGAAGGAGGAGGGAGTGCCACCAGGCAAGGCTTCAGTTTTCCTAAAATCAGTCTCTATAACATCCTGGTAACAGGATCAGGTATCATTTCAGTTAGGATTTTGAATTTCCACCAAGTTAAGGAAGGTATGATATATTGTTGTGTAACTTGTGTATCAGTTTATTAACTTAATTATATCTGTATAAAAAGTTGTGTGTAATACATTTTTTGAGTGCCTGTAGTTATTCATGATTATGTCTAATTCAGTTTTATTGAAAATTTCAATTTTAGGTGATAGCTTGGAAGTCTGAAATTTGTATCACATTTGTACAAATTATGTTATGAATCAATATGTCTGGGTTTTTGTTCAGATCACTGAACAGTACAAATGTTATCAGCTATGTGTGTAATGACTGAATCAAGAGGTTACCATAGGAACAGTAGTCCTTATTGATTGTTACAAGTGAATAGTTCCTTACATGTACATATGGGACTATAGGGGTTTTGTTTCCTTGTCATTTCCCTCTCAGTATACAAATAGTTGGTCAAATTTAGACTTATCCTGTTAATGGATAAAGAGAAATACCTAATATGTAACTGTCTTTTTAGTTTTTGTTGATTTCATGATATTTTTATTCTTAATCCACCCTATGTTATATTGATTTTAAGTAATAGTGTATTTTGTGATACCATTTATCCTCAAAACTGAGTGTTCACAAAATTGTAATTTTTGAAGAAAAAAAAGTATCAAATATGACCTTTGTGTAAATAGATGATTTTACTTAGTCTGGAAACTTATCAAGTCTAATTAATGATCCATTAGTATCAAACTCTTGGTGACAAATCAAAGATCAAGAATTACTACCATGGCAGTCCATACACAGATCTAGGTTGGTAGTAATGGCTTCATTTCAGATAGCTCAAGGGGCTTGTTCATGCTGAAATGTTCAGTGAAGATACATCAAGGGGCTTGTTCATGCTGAAATGTTCAGTGAAGATACATCAAGGGGCTTGTTCATGCTGAAATGTTCAGTGAAGATACATCAAGGGGCTTGTTCATGCTGAAATGTTCAGTGAAGATACATCAAGGGGCTTGTTCAAGGGGCTTGTTCATGCTGAAATGTTCAGTGAAGATACATCAAGGGGCTTGTTCATGCTGAAATGTTCAGTGAAGATACATCAAGGGGCTTGTTCATGCTGAAATGTTCAGTGAAGATACATCAAGGGGCTTGTTCATGCTGAAATGTTCAGTGAAGATACATCAAGGGGCTTGTTCATGCTGAAATGTTCAGTGAAGATACATCAAGGGGCTTGTTCATGCTGAAATGTTCAGTGAAGATACATAAAGGGGCTTGTTCATGCTGAAATGTTCAGTGAAGATACATCAAGGGGCTTGTTCATGCTGAAATGTTCAGTGAAGATACATCAAGGGGCTTGTTCATGCTGAAATGTTCAGTGAAGATACATCAAGGGGCTTGTTCATGCTGAAATGTTCAGTGAAGATACATCAAGGGGCTTGTTCATGCTGAAATGTTCAGTGAAGATACATCAAGGGGCTTGTTCATGCTGAAATGTTCAGTGAAGATACATCAAGGGGCTTGTTCATGCTGAAATGTTCAGTGAAGATACATCAAGGGGCTTGTTCATGCTGAAATGTTCAGTGAAGATACATCAAGGGGCTTTTTCATGCTGAAATGTTCAGTGAAGATACATCAAGGGGCTTGTTCATGCTGAAATGTTCAGTGAAGATACATCAAGGGGCTTTTTCATGCTGAAACATTCACTTTGGATAAGTTAAGGGCCTTCTTGTAAATGTGCAAATGTTCAGTTCAGATAAATGAAGGGCCCTCTTGTTCATGTGCAAATGTTCAGTTCAGATGAATAAAGGGACTTGTTCTTGCTGAAGTGTTCATTTAAGATATATCAAAGGGCATTTTTATGCTGAAGTGTCTAGAGGATGCCATGTACTAAAGTGCCACCTGCCACTGTTTTGTGTATTTTCAGTGCTTTGTTGACCACCTATACAGACACCTCCCACATACACAATGCAGACAACAGAGACCTTGCCATCATCACCAATCAAGAGAGATCACTCTGGGAACTTTATCAGCATGAATGGTTCTACAACACATATAGATGGGGGAAATACCAAAATGCATGTATACAAACGTCAGCCCTCACACAGGTAATTATATCGTAATATACAAACGTCAGCCCTCACACAGGTAATTATATCGTAATATACAAACGTCAGCCCTCACACAGGTAATTATATCGTAATATACAAACGTCAGCCCTCACACAGGTAATTATATCGTAATATACAAACGTCAGCCCTCACACAGGTAATTATATCGTAATATACAAACGTCAGCCCTCACACAGGTAATTATATCGTAATATACAAACGTCAGACCTCACACAGGTAATTATATTGTAGTATACAAACGTCAGCCCTCACAAAGGTAATTATATTGTAGTATACAAACATCAGCCCTCACACAGGTAATTATACTTCATTGTACAAACAACAGTTTTGCAGTCTTGTCAGCAGTTCAATAGAATCATAGATGTTCTGGATAGCTAATTATTGAGGATAGTAAAACTGTTCTTTTTTACTCACTTTATAAATATTTTTATACAAGAAATGATTGTGGGGGTGGTGGTTCACTGATCGATGACTACATCAGATGTAATAAACACATGTTCTTTCATCATTAGATCAGTAATTTGACAGACTGCTGACTTTGTCACCTCTGACAGTCAAAGATTCACTAATTATGTTAAACATGAACTGATATAAAAAAAATAACTGATCAGTATAAAACTATATTTATAATACACAGCTTTACATTTTTTAACTATTTTATAAATACAAACACTTTCTACCATGTTTCCATTGGACAGGATATTTGTGAACAGATCCTTACATTTGGAGAAGATTTCTGTGTATGGATTTGACATGGATTACACATTGGCAGGTAAATCTCTGCTTTTAATTTGTTGATAATTGTCTAAAGATATCACTTCATGTTTTTTCTTTTTGTTTCATTATTTTAGTCTGAAGAAACACTTTATCTGATAACCACGTCTAAATATATTCTATCTGTTACATACCTTTCTTAAGGGCAAGTGAACTTACATGAGGCTTTCACGTGTTGGAAGGACTTTCTTACGTAGGGATCAAATGTGTAAAAATATACAGTGAATGGCTTCTGAATAACCAGAATCCAGAATGTTGAGCAAGTGCAATTCTAGGTCAAGGACTTTTATGTTTGTTCAAGAATATAACTTTGGCCATTTGATTTTAAATAATACTGTATTTTGTGATACCATTTATCCTCAAAACCGAGTGTTGACAAAATTGTAATTTTTGAAGAAAAAAAAGTATCAAATATGACCTCCGTGTAAATAGATGATTTTACTTAGTCTGGAAACTTATAAAGTCTAATTAATGATCCATTAGTATCAAACTCTTGGTGGCAAATCAAAGATCAAGAATTACTACCATGGCAGTCCATACACAGATCTAGGTTGGTAGTAATGGCTTCATTTCAGATAGCTCAAGGTCATGTCATGGTCACAGAGGTAAAATCTTATCAAACTTCTTCTAGATCTTCTAGATAATTTAATGGACAAGTGTCATACTGGAAAAAGGGCTATCATATGGAAATGGACTTGACCAAATTTCAAGGACCCATTGTATTAAAAAACTCAGAAATACTCAGAATTATGACATTGGGTTGGTCGATTTCTTGGTTAAGGGTTATTAAGATCTCCAAGTGAAGGACATTGACAAACTGTCAAGATCACATATTAAATGTATCAAAATTTCATTATGCATATTTTGAATAGCCAAAACATCTTGAGTCATGATACTGGGCATGTAGCATTCTTGGATAGAGCTTTCAAGTTTTTCAATTGAATGACCTTGATCTTCTCTCAAGGTCCCAATGATAAAATGTATTAGAAATTCAAATAATTTCTGTGTAATTACCAAAACCATGATATCTGGCCTGTAATATACTTGGCTGAAGTTCGAGCTGGTTTGCACAAATGAGTTACTTACCCACTTTGAGTCAAAACATTTTGATTATTTAATGGCAGCCAATTGCAAGAGACCCCAAATTGTGTCTTTCAACCAACAATTTACTGGCTCAGTTTATGTTTTGCCAAATTCAGTTTGGAAAAGTGAGTGAAGGAAATTCAGTTTTGTCAATTCTATCTGTTCTTTCAGAAATCCCACTGATTTTATTGTTAATCCTGTTTAAGTTCTAGATCTTCCTCTTCACCCCTCATGGCACTGAGGTACAAAGACCAATATTGGGAAATAGCTTAAACATAATGTATATGCTACCATAAACATAATGCTTTGCCCTGATCACTTAAAGATACATGCCCCTTGGCCTCTTGAAAGATGTGTACATATTTATTTATACTTACAAAATGAAGAAACTCCTAGCTAGTGACTAAAAGTCTTTTAACAGTAAAATTGAAATGTCTTTAATTTTGTTTAATGTTCTACTTCAGTGTACAAATCACCAGAATATGAAGCCATGGGATTTGATATGTTGAAAGAGAGGCTGGTAACTATTGGTTACCCAGAGGCCATTAAAGAGTTTGAGTATGATCCTACATTTGTATGCAGGTAATAAAATATTATATTTCTGTGAGTTTTCCTTTCCCATTTTTTATTTTTGTTGCTTCAGTCTATCAATCTACAAACAAAACATTTGAATTTAATCTTTACATTATTTATAAAATATATTGCATTTAAAGCATTCTAATATGTTCAACCAAATAACAAAGCCAGATATCTATATTTTAATGTGTGTTCAAATGGTTTCTGTTTCAGAGGGCTGTGGTTTGATAAACAATATGGAAATTTACTGAAAGTTGATGCCTATGGTAATATTTTAGTATGTGTTCATGGATTCAAATTTTTAAAAGGGTAAGTACAATATAGGATAGATTGCTGTCATTTCTTTTCTGATTAAAAGATTTAATGCTAATTTCCCTGTTATTTACTTATCAATGATTTCATTTTCAACTTTATCTTTTTCAGTGTTTAAAAAAGTTATTTATCATTGTTACTAAGTATTATCTTTTGAATTAAAGGAGATAACAGAAAATATTGGATCACATTCTGGCAATGTGGGCAATGGTTTGAATCTAGAAATGAGTACTCAGTCTTTTGTTATATTCTGTAAATCAATTTTAGAACAGTGTTTCTAATCAGCTGGGAAAAGCTTAAACAAGATTTAGTTTGAAGTAACACAGTTCCATAATCTTTCTAGAGTTGAAGGTTAAGTCATGTTTGTGGTCATTTCAGTCATGAAGTATCCAAACTTTACCCCAACAAATACATACAGCTGGATGAAAACAGGATCTATGTATTAAATACTCTCTTTAATCTACCAGGTAAGTCAGCTAAAATTTTACATTTGCTTATACACTCTATATGTATTGACAGTATATCTGTCATACTGGAAATACATTAAAAATGCCTGTCATACCCCTAACTTAGATAGGGGGTGGGGTATATAGTAATCACTTCATCTGCTTGTCTGTGCAACTGTTATAATATTGTGTTAAACATTCTATGAACCCATGAAAAGATGTGGTTATATTCACAACATATCATCATTCAATAAAGGTGACTGCACCTGAGTAGATTTTATTGGTCATCTATCAAGATTAAAGGTCAACTATTAACCACTTTTTAAATAAAAAATCCTGTGTACAAGTATCACATGAACCATGACATAGATTTAGATGAGAAGAAAAAGAAGAGGGGGTGGGGGAATATACAAATACACATATTTGTTATGGTTTTTGCCAGGATGCAAGATCATTTGTATGTTTGGAAACTTGAGACAGCTTACCCTCTCAGAAACCTGTATAATAAATATTGCTGATATCCCATAATTACCACAAATCGACTGCTTGTAAGTTTGATGTTACAGATATTGAATGATTTACTTAAAATTGTTTCAAAATTTTAAATTTTTATATGTCAGTTGTGAAAGTACAGTGCTTCACTTGATAGAAAAAATTGGATAATAAAGTTTTTATTTTACCACAGAAACTTACATGATTGCTTGTGTCATAGACTATTTCAACTCCTCCAAGGAATATGTAAGGTATGTATATGAGACTTAGTGGGATTGTTATAACTTATGGTACAGGTTTCATCTGATTTAGGAAAACAGACCCTGAGCATTGTCATAAACTGATACAAACCATCTTAATTAGTAAATATGACACTCATCATCTCAGTAGACAGCACCAGCCTCTCAGTCTGAGACTGTCTGGTTAGTCTTACTAATCAAAATCTCACTTTCAGGTAATATTGTGTCATGGTAAGTCATTGATTATAGGACTTAACTTTATTGAAGACTTTCAATATGCCACAATTTATCCCTAAAGTCATCTTCTTTGATGGCATTATGACTAGAGAGTCAATAATTTATGATTATTTTGTTTTCAATTTATCAACGTTTATTTTGTTTGCTGCCCTAAAGTTTTTGGGAGAGCCTATAGGGACACATTGTCCATCCTTTCATGTACAGATCATAGCTTTGACCACAGTTGAGCAAGTATCAGGAAACTTGGTTTATACATTGGTCATACTAAGGGGATGTGCAGTGTATTAAATTCAGGGTCCTCAACCCCTAAACTACAGAGTTACTGCCCTTCACTAAAATTTTGTGTCCAAGCATGACTTTCTTTGGATATAAACAAGGATAACAAAACTTGGTGTATACATTCATCATACTAAGATGATGTGCAGTGTACTAAATTCAGGTTGCTAGACCCTCAATTACAGAGTTATTGCCCTTTGTTAAGAATTTCTTGTCCAGATTTTAACTTTACCTAAAATTAAGCAAGGATCAGGAAATTAAATGTATACATCGATCTGACTATGACAATGTGCTGTGTACCAAATTCAGAGAGTCATTCCTTTTGTTAAAAATATTTGTCCAGTGCATTATATTGCATGCATTTATGGTAGGATAATGTATCTTGGTGTATACATTGATCATATAAAGACTAGGTACAGTGTTCCAATGTTAGGGCCTCCAACCCCATAATTACAAAGTTATTACCCTTTATTAAAATTTTCTGTATGGAGCATTACTTTGCCTGCATTTAAACTTGGATATAGAAACATGATGTATACATTAATCATACAAAAGTAAGATGCATTGTAGCAAAGGCAAGCCCATGGCCCCTCAATTACAGAGCCATTTCCTCTTGTCAGAATTTTGTGTCCTGAGCATAGCTCTGCTTGCACTACAGCTAGGATCAGGGAATGTGCAGTATACCGAATTCAGGGCGTGCAACCCCTTAATTACCGAATTATTGTCCCTTTTATAATTTTGTGTCCATTAAAGTTGTTTTTGGGGAGCATTCATCAATTTCAGTGATATTCTTGTTTTTTTAATTCTACTGATTTTAGATAAATGTAAATGTCTCATTGTTCCTCATTATCCCGGAATGAAGGTACAAACTCCTCAGAATTGTATTCAAGACTTGTACCCACAGTTTTCAGGCACTTTTCTTATATCAATATGCAGTGCCCCAGTTTGTAAATACATCTGAGAACACTGTGTTTTATCACTATTTTACTTTCTAGTCTTACAGTTTCTGCTATATTAATATTACAGTCTATATGATTACAGATATTAAATAATCTGTTACAGCTATAGTAGCAGTACATAATGTTTTATAATATGATATTTTCATAAACTTGGCAACCAATTGCAGTAAAATTATACCAAAAAATTATGAGCCAAAGGTAGATGAACAGAAAGCTTTTCTTTTTTCCTAAAAATTTATTGAATTGTGTAGCTTACCAAAGCCCATAATTTGATGCACCAGATGTTTCCAGCATTGTTACTATGGAAAACAGATATACATTGGTACTCTTTTCTAAATGTTAGTTCTCCTTTGCTTGCCATGGTAACCAAAAGAAGACCTATGATTAGACAAAGTCTTTTCCAAATTGCTTCTCCTAACCTTGTAAATTTTGACCATTTTTCAATGAAACTACACTTGAATATTATAAACCATAGGTAGATTTGCATGCAATTTTTATACCCCTGGATATCCTCAGGACAGCTGTAGTTTAGCTAATGTTGACTCATGACTTTCCATTGTTTTTTCATATCAATAACCGGAGCAGGATGATGACATCTTAAGTTGACTAGATATTGTCAGCTTTCTTCCCATCATAAACAGCCACCACACATGTTATCGCACAAAACAAGCTGTTATGTAGACAAGTCAAGTGCTAAACTTATCAGTGTACACACATAATACTTTTTCACAAATAAGGATTTCTGTTTTTGTTTATTTTCCTTAAAAAGAAAACATACAAGTGTTATACAGTCATTTTTTTTTTTGTCAATCGAAACAATTTTTTTTAATAATTATATACCAAGGCACTGAAGAGCACTACTGGTAAGGTAGGGAAATTACACCTGCCCTAAACTTTCTAGACCAAAAGATTTGACTGTATAACATATATATGATGGACTCTTTATAGTTGTATTAGGAAGGGGAAATTCTGCTATAGGTAAACTTATGTTTAATGTTACTCCAACAAGTGTCCCATAACATTACTTCGACTGGAATCTCCCCTACCTTATGCACAAATAAAAAAGCAAATCTCTTTCTTCTTCCATCTAAAAAGGAGGTAAACTGTGTTTCATTTCGCAGATTCTTATAATATGTTTTGCATCATAGAACAAAGTGTATTTGGCAGGTTGGACATTCCCTTGGCAACGAAGCCTCGCTGTTTGGGGGCGGAGCCAATTGCCAAATAAGGGCACAGATGACTGCCCTCATTAGTAAGTGATCAGGTAAGGTGTGCAGGTGTCAAGGCCAAACTTTGACCCTGAATAATAACACCCTACCCTCATCATGTTATGAGGGAAATTATCACAGATAGAAACTAAGACATTTTTGAAGGGAAATATTACAAATCGAAATAAAAATAATTCTATATGTTATTTATCTATATTTATGCAAATAGAAAATATGACACTTCTATAAGGAGTTATTATGGATAGAAACTAAAGTATTTCTATATACAGTTATTACAGATGGAAACTAAGGCACTTCTATGGGCAGTAAGTACAGAAGCTAAGACACTTTTGTAGGCAGTTAGTACAGATTTAAATCAAGACAGTCACCTTAGATCAAGTCAATTTTTACTGTTGGTTATTTTACAGCTAAATACATGTATGATTTTTGAATTTCATGAACCAAATTACATGGAAATAATACATCTGAATTAACAATGAAATTGTTTACATAAACGTTTTATGAAAAGGTATACAAAGTTGTATTATATGGGATTGCAGTTGATATTATTGAACTTAACTTCCAACCAGCAGGAAATGAACTTACAGTTCTTTCCCAGCAGACAATATAATATTGTATCTACCCTGCAATGCAATATAGAAAACTATAAAAGATTTATCAGGAATATCTCCTTACTTATTTTCTATCTGTGGTACTTTCCCTACATAAAGGTAATACACACATATATATACACACAGAACCTCCCAATCTAAACATAACGTGTCAACTCAATTACATGTGTGCCAAAAGTGCATGAGGATTTTTATGTACCGGTATTTTGTTGCATGTCATAATAGAGAATTTGGATCTGACCACAGTGAATGGGGTAATCAGACGGCTTAACCATGGCCACATTATACATGAGCTGATCTGGCCACATCAACATGGCCACAGTAAATGTCTTGATCTGGCCACATCACCATGTGGATTATGACATATTATAAATATGATGTTAATAAATCATGCTAATTTAAGTCACCTTAAATCTTTCAATGTTTTTCACATTCATAATCTACCTGGACTGGAATTTGAATCAGAACAATGCAGGTTTAATCAGAAGATTTATTTGCCAATTTAAGATTGAAATTTAAGATTTAGAAAGACCCTAGGATGCTATTTATCAGAGTTATTTCCCTTGCTACAATGTTTATGAGTATGTAACTGTTTTAAGGATATGCTTGTGATATAAAAAGAATATATGTAACTGATTTGTAATGAAAATTATGACAGCTTCCCACCACCCAGTCCCCCACCCCAACTGTTTTTGTACTTTGTCCTAAAATCCATTGTCATAAGATAAATGTGAGGTTTATTCTTTTGTAAATCATTGGTTCAGCATCCATACTGTGTAAATAAATTTTCTAGCAGATAATGGAAAAATGATACAATGGTATCAACAAACATCATCAATCACTGTCATAACATTACCTTTGATTTTCATGTTCCAATGAAATTCAGTGTTTATCTTATTAGACAGTTTGTCAAGATATCAAATTTGTACCTATTATGGTCAGGCAGCATGTCAGTAGTACATTGCATGAAATAAATCTTACAACCAGTCATCTTAAAATGAAACATTTGTTTTAAAAAAGCATGACTCTAAGTATTCAGCCAGGTTTGTAACTGACTACTCCACGCATTAGTGAGAAAATCAGTTTTTATTTGAGGTATGTACCTGGATTCAGCAGTGTAAACAAAAGCTATATTTCTGAAATTTCTGACAACATGATTCCTTATTGATAAACTAGTAATTTTTCAGTAACTCACTCATATAACAATACACTATTTTCCCCTTACAGATCTGATGACGGTGTAAAATGCAATGACTTGTTCATGTCCTATCGCTCAATATTTCAAGATCTCCGAGCCTGCGTGGACTGGGTTCATGAACACGTAAGTGCTTATATTTTCTTTTATTGCAGTAGAGGATGAAACAGTAGGCGAGGTTAAAGACACATTGATTCACAAGATTTTACACTGATCTTGGTATTGGCTGATTCAAGTTTGTTGGTATAAGAAGGTAGTTTATCTTTACAGTGTTAACTAATGATTAAATTTCCATGCCACAATTATGAATAATTCAGATTCTTATAACTCAACTAAGTCTTATAGCATGATACATTATTGATCTCTATATTCTACTTATTGGGATCCAGGGTAACTTGAAAGAAGACACAGTGAAGAATATGGAAAAGTTTGTGCATAAAGACAAAAGACTGCCACTTTTACTCAACAGGTAAATATTTATAAGAGAAAAGTACCTGATTTATTTAAATGATACTCTTACAGTCGTTACACCCTCTGTTTTATAAGGTAGGTGATTAATTTCTCAATGTACCCGTGTGGAGGATTATATCGTCTGGAATATCGAGTTTTACAGACATTCAAATTCTGATGGTCATTGGTGAAGGTTAAGGATCAAGAGTCATATTTACGGCTTTGGAAGTGAAAAAAAATCATTTTCAAAGTATTTCACGAACCTGTGAGCAGAACAGAGTTTATATTCGCACCATAATGTCATGATATTCTGTATCTGAGTTAAGAAAGGGGAAGGTGTGATTACATACTTATGTAACCTCAGGTGAAGATATGAGGTATACAGTCTGACACACATTACCCATTTGTGTTTCTCAGGGCCAGACATTTTACCCTAATTGCTCTGGATACTATGTGACCGGCCTCTTTTATGTTGTTCAGTGAGAAAGCCACCACTAACTCTAAGAAAACCCACACCTCAAAATGACCCTGGTTATTCACAATAGCAATAAACCCAACAAACTGATTTAAGGGTCTAAGATAAAATTCGCTTATGGATTTACGTTATAAGTTTGAGACATGTGTACTTAGGGTGATATATTACAGAATAAGACAGTATACCTACAGTATTATAATGATAAGGTGTTGTTTGTTACAGAATGAGACATCATGGTGCTAAGATCATCACCTACAGTATTATAATGATAAGATATTGTTTGTTACAGAATGAGACATCATGGTGCTAAGATCATCACCTACAGTATTATAATGATAAGGTGTTGTTTGTCACAGAATGAGACATCATGGTGCTAAGATCATCACCTACAGTATTATAATGATAAGGTGTTGTTTGTTACAGAATGAGACATCACGGTGCTAAGATCATCACCTACAGTATTATAATGATAAGGTGTTGTTTGTTACAGAATGAGACATCATGGTGCTAAGATCATCACCAACAGTATTATAATGATAAGATATTGTTTGTTACAGGATGAGAGAGCATGGTGCTAAGATCATCACCTACAGTATTATAATGATAAGGTGTTGTTTGTTACAGAATGAGACATCATGGTGCTAAGATCATCACCTACAGTATCATAATGATAAGGTGTTGTTTGTTACAGAATGAGACATCATGGTGCTAAGATCATCACCTACAGTATTATAATGATAAGGTGTTGTTTGTTACAGAATGAGACATCACGGTGCTAAGATCATCACCTACAGTATTATAATGATAAGATATTGTTTGTTACAGAAGGAGACATCATGGTGCTAAGATCATCACCTACAGTATCATAATGATAAGGTGTTGTTTGTTACAGAATGAGACATCATGGTGCTAAGATCATCACCTACAGTATTATAATGATAAGGTGTTGTTTGTTACAGAATGAGACATCATGGTGCTAAGATCATCACCTACAGTATTATAATGATAAGGTGTTGTTTGTTACATCACCTACAGTATCATAATGATAAGGTGTTGTTTGCTACAGAATGAGACATCATGGTGCTAAGTTCATCACCTACAGTATTATAATGATAAGGTGTCATTTGTCACAGAATGAGACATCATGGTGCTAAGATCATCACCAACAGTATTATAATGATAAGGTGTCATTTGTCACAGAATGAGACATCATGGTGCTAAGATCATCACCTACAGTATTATAATGACTGTCATTTGTCACAGATGTACATACATTGTATAACATCAAGATTTTAATGATAAGGTGTTGTTTGTGTAACATCAGTGTTCATCACAAAATTTTGATATTGACATACAAATTGCTAAGATATACCTACAGTATTATAATGATAAGGTGTTGTTTGTTACAGAATAGACATCATGGTACTAAGATCATCACCTAGAGTATCATAATGATATTGGATTAGCTACAGATAGACATCATGGTGCTAAGTTCATCACCTACAGTATTATAATGATAAGGTGTCATTTGTCACAGATAGACATCATGTGATATTGGTTTCACCAACAGTATTATAATGTGATATTGTTTGTTACAGGATGAGAGAGCATGGTGCTAAGATCATCACCTACAGTATTATAATGATAAGGTGTCATTTGTCACAGAATGAGACATCATGGTGCTAAGATCATCACCAACAGTATTATAATGATAAGGTGTTGTTTGTTACAGAATGAGACATCACGGTGCTAAGATCATCACCTACAGTATTATAATGATAAGATATTGTTTGTTACAGAATGAGACATCACGGTGCTAAGATCATCACCTACAGTATTATAATGATAAGGTGTTGTTTGTTACAGGAGGAGAGAGCATGGTGCTAAGATCATCACCAACAGTATTATAATGATAAGATATTGTTTGTTACAGGATGAGAGAGCATGGTGCTAAGACTATGATCATCACCAACAGTGACTATACCTATAGTAATGTAAGAACATTTATCAGTATTTATGATAACCTACTGCAAACCTTCTCATTTTAACGTTAATTTTACGCCAAAAGTTCCATTTTTCAAGTTCATAGAAAATACTGATGTCAAATACATGTTTTTCATTTGACTCTTGTACAGAAACAGATTTTCATTTATTCCAGGGTTTTGTATTTTGTTTAATTTTTTAATAAAAGATTCTCTCTATTTTTTGTCCAGAAAATCATGGAGTACCTTCTTGACTTCCCAGATGTAAGTACATTGTATAACATTAAGATTTTATTTGGTCTTGTGTAAATCAGTGTTTCCAAAATTTTGAATTGAATACAAATTTAAAATATATACAACTATCCACATCAGAACTTTTCCTTCAGTACCTATTTCGAGAGACCTATTGTATTGGATTAGTATGATAGACCTGTGGTATTGGTTTAGTATGATAGACCTGTGGTATTGGTATGATAGACCTGTGATATTGGTTTAGTATGGTAGACCTGTGATATTGGTTTAGTATGATAGACCTGTGGTACTGGTTTAGTATGGTAGACCTGTGATATTGGTTTAGTATGATAGACCTGTGATATTGGTTTAGTATGATAGACCTGTGATATTGGTTTAGTATGATAGACCTGTGGTATTGGTTTAGTATGATAGACCTGTGATATTGGTTTAGTATGATAGACCTGTGGTATTGGTTTAGTATGATAGACCTGTGGTATTGGTTTAGTATGATAGACCTGTGATATTGGTTTAGTATGATAGACCTGTGATATTGGTTTAGTATGATAGACCTGTGATATTGGTTTAGTATGATAGACCTGTGATATTGGTTTAGTATGATAGACCTGTGATATTGGTTTAGTATGATAGACCTGTGATATTGGTTTAGTATGATAGACCTGTGGTATTGGTTTAGTATGATAGACCTGTGATATTGGTTTAGTATGATAGACCTGTGATATTGGTTTAGTATGATAGACCTGTGATATTGGTTTAGTATGATAGACCTGTGGTATTGGTTTAGTATGATAGACATGTGATATTGGATTAGTATGATAGACCTGTGATATTGGTTTAGTATGATAGACCTGTGATATTGGTTTAGTATGATAGACCTGTGATATTGGTTTAGTATGATAGACCTGTGATATTGGTTTAGTATGATAGACCTGTGGTATTGGTTTAGTATGATAGACCTGTGATATTGGTTTAGTATGATAGACCTGTGGTATTGGTTTAGTATGATAGACCTGTGATGTTGGTTTAGTATGATAGACCTGTGGTATTGGTTTAGTATGATAGACCTGTGATATTGGTTTAGTATGATAGACCTGTGGTATTGGTTTAGTATGATAGACCTGTGATATTGGTTTAGTATGATAGACCTGTGGTATTGGTTTAGTATGATAGACCTGTGATATTGGTTTAGTATGATAGACCTGTGGTATTGGTTTAGTATGATAGACCTGTGATATTGGTTTAGTATGATAGACCTGTGGTATTGGTTTAGTATGATAGACCTGTGATATTGGTTTAGTATGATAGACCTGTGGTATTGGTTTAGTATGATAGACCTGTGATATTGGTTTAGTATGATAGACCTGTGGTATTGGTTTAGTATGATAGACCTGTGATATTGGTTTAGTATGATAGACCTGTGATATTGGTTTAGTATGATAGACCTGTGGTATTGGTATGATAGACCTGTGGTATTGGTTTAGTATGATAGACCTGTGATATTGGTTTAGTATGATAGACCTGTGGTATTGGTTTAGTATGGTAGACCTGTGATATTGGTTTAGTATGATAGACCTGTGGTATTGGTTTAGTATGATAGACCTGTGGTATTGGTATGATAGACCTGTGGTATTGGTTTAGTATGATAGACCTGTGGTATTGGTTTAGTATGATAGACCTGTGGTATTGGTTTAGTATGATAGACCTGTGGTATTGGTTTAGTATGATAGACCTGTGATACTGGTTTAGTATGATAGACCTGTGGTATTGGTTTAGTATGATAGACCTGTGATATTGGTTTAGTATGATAGACCTGTGGTATTGGTATGATAGACCTGTGATATTGGTTTAGTATGATAGACCTGTGATATTGGTTTAGTATGATAGACCTGTGGTATTGGTATGATAGACCTGTGATTTTGGTTTAGTATGATAGACCTGTGATATTGGTTTAGTATGGTAGACCTGTGATACTGGTATGATAGACCTGTGATATTGGTTTAGTATGATAGACCTGTGGTATTGGTTTAGTATGATAGACCTGTGATGTTGGACTAGTATGGTAGACCTGTGATATTGGTTTAGTATGATAGACCTGTGGTATTGGTTTAGTATGATAGACCTGTGGTATTGGTTTAGTATGATAGACCTGTGGTATTGGTTTAGTATGATAGACCTGTGGTATTGGTTTAGTATGATAGACCTGTGATATTGGTTTAGTATGATAGACCTGTGGTATTGGTTTAGTATGATAGACCTGTGGTATTGGTTTAGTATGATAGACCTATTGTATTGGTTTAGTATGATAGACCTGTGGTATTGGTTTAGTATGATAGACCTGTGGTATTGGTTTAGTATGATAGACCTGTGGTATTGGTTTAGTATGATAGATGTATATTCATTCACATTAACAGCTCCCCAAGAGAGATTGGACCTCCTACTTTGACATCGTGGTTGTGAGTGCTAAGAAGCCGCTGTTTTTCAGAGAAGGAACAATCATGCGGAAAGTTGACAGAGTAAGTGAATTTCTTTCTTACATTACTTGTTAGCTTACCTGGCCCAAAGGGCCAAGTGAGCTTATGCCATAGCGCGGTGTCCGTCGTCCGTTCGTCCGTCCGTCGTCTGTCCGTCTGGCGTCTGTCAACTTTTCATTTAAACAACTTCTTCTTTAAATACCGAAAGGTGTAGAGTTATGATATTTGGCTGGAAAGTTCCTTTGATGGTGCCAAACAAAGTTTGCAAAAATAAATGACCTTGACCAATATTCAAGGTCACAGATGTCAAATGTGTTAAAACCTTTAAAAGACTACCTCCAAAATACCAGAAGGCCTAGTATCATTATGTTTGGCTGGAAGGTTCCTTTGATGAAGCCCAACAAATTTTGCAAAAAAAATCACTTTGACCTATATCCAAGGTTACAGAGGTCAAATGTGTTAAAATATTTAAACGACTTCTTCCAAAATACCGGAAGGCCTAGAATCATTATATATGGCTGGAATGTTTCTTTGATGAAGCCCTACTAAGTTTGCAAAAAGAAATGACCTTGACCAAGATTCAAGGTCACAGAGGTCAAAAGTGTTAAAACATTTCAACGACTTCTTCCAAAATACCGGAAGGCCTAGAATTATTATATTAAGCTACTATGTTCCTCTTATGGTGTCCTACAAAGTTTGCTAAAAGAAATGACCTTGACCCATATTCAAGGTCACTGAGGTCAAATGTGTAAAAACGTTTTAAACAATTTCTTCTGAAATATCGAAAAGCCTAGAATCATTATATTTGGCCAGTATGTTCTTTTTGTCAATGTTTTAATGCTAACTCAATTTTCTGAGAGCTAGTTTAGTGTTTGTTGATATTAGAAGATCGTAATCATTATCCGGAAAAGTTTTAATAGCATTACTGCTGGCATTGACATCTATTTTACATCCATGCTGCAAGGGAAACTTTGTTTATATGAAAGCTGCCATTTTGTTATGTTAAACTCCCATTCATTTCAAACTATGTTATATTTATTTCATTGCAGCACTTTTCTATTTCAACCTGTAGAAGAAATGTTTGATTTGAAATCTGCTGCTTAATGACATTGTTGTATTTTTTCCTTGAAATAGAATTATAAATAATGAATGTCATGATTGTTTGACAGGAGACAGGTAAATTAAGTCTAGGTCACCATCTCGGACCTCTGAAGCAGGGATGTGTGTATTCTGGAGGTATGTAATAAAGTTAGATAAACAATCTAGAGTTATCTCCAAGTGTTAGACTGTAATGTTATGATGTAGTTTGTTGTCTTCAATTCTGATTCTCAATTTTATTATGATTAAAACAATGTAAATAAAAAAAATTTGTATCGCATACAAGTTGGTACAATTTATTTGAAATGAATGTGTTTTTAGTAATATTTCAGGGAAATTGCACTAGAAAAATAGTTAATATTCTGGGCTTTGTACAAATATAAGTACAAAATCATGTATAATCAAGTGCAAACACCAAGGCATGTGATATCTTATATTGTTGAATTCACTTCATTTTTAACAATTCAGTTTTAATTTTGAGTTTGCTTTAAAACCTGATTGCTGTATTTCAGGTTCCTGTGACCTTATCTCTCAGATGTTGGGTGTGAATGGTAAGAACGTCCTGTATGTAGGGGACCATATCTTCGGAGACATCCTACGATCTAAGAAGGAGTGGGGCTGGAGGACATTCCTAGTTGTTCCAGAACTTCAACAGGAGGTGCGTGTTTGGACAGAACAGAGGGACTTGTTCCATCGTCTTGAAAGCTTGGAGTGTGAAATGGGTGAGAAGTACAGGTAAGATTTAAATGAAAATCTAAATACAATTAGAATTTGAATTATCTAACTGAAGTGAAATTGATTTACAGGTAAAATATAATGTACCAGTTATTAGAAGCTGGAAATGAAAGTCACGGTACATATACTTATATTAAACTCTAGTTATATGCTCTATCATGTGTACAACGTCTATCCATCCATACTACAGCATAGAGCATTGATTAACTTTGTTATGTACTCAAGTCATCTAAGTTAGATCATTTCAAACAGAATCTATCATTTTGCTTTCTTGCGATAAAATTAAGAAACATGCAATGCTTTGTTTACAGAAATTTGGACAGCAGTCATATGGAGAAGCCAGACATTCATGGCATTCAGCGGTCGATGATGGTATTTATTCTTATGTTGAGTTAAAGAGTGACCCTCACTGTCACAAATTGAGTTTTACTGAGCCAGTCATTTTGTGACAGTGTTATTTAGTCATTACCACATGAATTTCAAAACAAGCATTGTTATTCCTATTAGGCCTGAACAAAAAGTTTGACAGAGTAGTCATGGTGTCCATTATTACAAAATTCATGGTGTAATCTCTAAGTAATGATTGTTTTCCAAAAGTAACACCTATTTCAAACTTCATGGTAAATTCAACCTATTGGATTTAGTTCCAAGTTGCATGGGACAACCTTGAGATAATCCTGACCCAGTATTATCATTTTTTGTGTTAGTCTGAAAACAAGATGGTGGAAGTGGTTGCCAATTTAAACCTATTCTCTGGTTACACTGGTGCTGTTGAGCTTAAACTTTGTGAGATTGTTTCGAAACACAAATTAAGAAAAATGGCTTTGATTCTGTCTCCTCTAAGATATGATTTTTTTTTTGCAAATTTAATGAAAGCTTAGTGAGAAAAATGGAAGGCACTTTGCTGAAATTTGAAATGGTTTTAATTATTGTAATTACTGCTATATAGTCAGGTGATCCTCAAGGTCAAAGAGCCTATTGTTTTAGATTTTATGGGTGTGATATATTTTTGAAAATGTATGTATCTAGGTCAATCAAGGTTTACATCAGAAATCTTTACCATTTCAAGTTAACATGCAAATCAGAAATTTACTAGCAGTATTTCATCATTAGACAGTTAGACTGATAATCAATGTCATTAAATTTTACAAAACAATTTGATGATTTATTTTAGGAAACAGTCCATGAGCTTGACCAATCCTATGGAATGCTGGGAAGTCTGTTCAGGAGTGGTAAGTCCTTAGATAAAATTACCAATCAAAAATGAAGTTGGATCTGATAACAACATAAACTTTTACGTATTTCCAATCAGACAATTTTTCAGCCTTTCCACTATACTGTGTAAGTGATAAGGAACCAACACTTTCATGACATACCATTCATATTATATAGGATAAATCATGAAGTGTTTCCGGACACTGGCTGTTTCACCATTTGATGAAATATGCTTTCACATATTAAGATATTAAGGTCAACTGTTTCTTTCAGTTTCATTCAAACATTAAGTATTAGATCTTGTATGGTGTGTAACTGTACTATTGCCAGCTAAACTGCCAAAAGTACAATTCAATACGTGATTGTACTGAGCCTTCATCTCTGTTGATTTATGGTGTAGATCCTGATATATTTGAAATTCAGCAAGGAACAGATAAGGTTTTCTCCAAACAGAAGTGCTACCTTTTAAATCCTATTAAATAGACACCACATCCTTACTGACTAAACAATTAACACAATAACATTACATATAGATGATTAAGTTAAAATGCTTTAAGTAAAGCTAGAGACTCTGATTTGTAGAAAGACTGGGATATCAATCATGTGACATATATGAAAAAATCAAATGAAAATGTAAAATATCTGACATGATTTTCTGACAGGTTCCAGGCCCACATTCTTCGCTGCCCAGGTCCAGCGCTACGCAGACATCTACTGTGGAGAATGGTTAAACATGCTGTATTATCCATTCACCTACATGTTCCGTGCTCCTTCAATGCTTGTAAGCAGTTTTCTGTTCATGTAGCAATGTTTTGTTAACTAAGTAACATAATGTCTCATTATATATAAACCCTCTGGAATCATAGCAATGATATCATCAATTTAAGACAAATGCTAAGTTGATGGTGTTTCCATCAATTTTTCAATTTGAATAATGATATCCAAAGTTTAGTGTAGCTGTTGACTGTCATTCTGCCAGACTGTGTCATCACTTTAAGCAGTACATTTCTGAACCATTACTTTTATGTAAATAATTAATAAAACTATGATGTTTTGTATGTGACTTTTTTCAATAAGTAATAATGAAGTAGAGATTAGCAAAATCACTCCCAAAGTTTGTGGGGTTTTTTTAGACTTATTGTTTTATTTTGTTAGAAGTTTCCAAATATAGGTTTGTGATGACTCAGAAGCTCTGACAGATTCTATAGTTGTTTTCTTAATAAAATGATTAAAGTTTCCTCATAGCTCTGGATTGATTCTGTGAATTTCAAAAAAACGAAAAAAGACCAAGACATTCCCGGGAGTTAAAAGCTTAGAATGTTAATGACTGTTATCAGTATTTTGTTTCCCTACAGATGCCACATGAGTCAACCGTCGATCACAAACTGTCCTTTGAGGTAGACAACGAAGAATTGAATAACCACAGACTTAACAGCATGTCATCTGATACAAGTTCCAAACTCACCACTAACGGCATGCATCTCCGTGCTGACAGACCAAAAAAGGTGACACATCACCATGACGATGATGATTTTGATGAGGAGACCAGCAGTACAGGAAGTGATTGAATTTCATATTCTTACCACGTTGTAATGATACAGCTCTACTTTATAAACAACAACGAACATGAATTATAGTATGACAAATCAAGGTCATTTCCTTTAGAAGTGTTGTAATAGATCCCTCATAACTGACGGGGTCAAATTTTTATTTGAACTGATGGGAATTTGGTAAAGTTTTAAATTTCATTGAGCTTCAGAAAACCAAGATGCAGAAAAAACTGTGACTTTATATTTTGCTGAACAAAGTTAATAATTTTGTGCCATATTGTTTAAGGGTACTTTTTTTCCACTGAGACAATTACCAAACCTTCTCTTTTGTGACTCCCCAGATTTTAACCAACTTCAGAACTACAGTCACAGTATGGAGTATGTAAAGATGTACCCAGGTACATATGTGTTAGATGAAGACAGGTATTAAGGAAATTAATTTTTTTTTATTGATTTTGTATCATTAAATGGTACATGTGTATTCATGTGAATTGTTCATGAAGCTGTTGGTCAGTTGGAGAATTTGTGTTCTTATTGATGGTAATTTTATTTTAAAAATTATTATTGCCAATTAGGGATGGCTTTCCAGGTGTTTTGTCTGATACTGTTATATAGATTCTTTGAATTTGATTAATTTATTTATGTTTGATGTGATTACAGTAAGTGTAACTTGTTGATAATGTTATATTCTGGGGTAGTGATACTTTGTTAAAAGGTTACTTTATCAAATCCATGTATACTGGATAAGCATTGCTGAGCTTACTCAGTGATCTCACCTTAAATCAGATTATTATGTAATGTCATTTTATATTGATATGTTTTAACCAGTTCTATACAAACTTTGGTGGTATTACCATTTGTGCAATGTGTTTTGAAATACAGAAAATTTTATCACTCGGATACAAATCAAAATATTCACCCAGCTAGTTCTTCTGCCTCCATTGCTAGTCATCTATAGCTAGAATCCACACTGACCTCACTGTATTTGTCTAATTGACCTGATTGTATTGAAGATTTTGACCAAATCGTGGCATACGGTATATGGTTGCTAAGTTACTGTCTTCACTTCATCACCTCAGATGACTGGGAGATCTGAAATCAGAGATCATAAGTTGTAAAAGACATTGATAGATTGAGGGTGTTAGGGGTGGTATAAGCTGTAGATTGAATTACTTTATATATATGACAAGTTTGATGCTGCTTAATGCAGTGCTTACAATTGATGATTATTTTTTATGTTGTGTTGAAATCAGGACTAATTTATATAAGTCATTGTTGCCCATTTATGAAGTTGATTTGTTGCTTGTGTAAGTAATATGTTGCTCCTTAATGTAAATTAATGAGTGGAATTATACATACAATATATTGTTTCATATTTGATTTTTTATTCTAGTTTTAGTTTTCTGGTGGAAATATTAATGCTTTTTCGCAGTGTAAAATGTGAAGAAAAATCTGATCTAGATGACTTCTAAACCAATATCAGAAATCTCAAGTTATTTGAACAGTATTATTTAAACGGACATCTCAGAAGTCTCATCATTAATGTAGGTAGATATGTGATAGTTTTAATTACATCTAGGGATATGTTAGATTAAAACAAGTAAAGTTGATATGAATTATTACCACACCCTTCAGATTTATCAGGACTACTGGTTTTCAGTGTCTTACACTGTTTAAACCTGAGTGACTTTTAGTGCAATATTTTACACCAATTAAAAATGCCTTTGAGGTTATTATATAGACAAATTGTAAGAACTATCAATGTCGGCTAGGTTTTTGTGAACAAATTGTAGAACCTCTCCCACAGGATCCATCTTCCTGTAACCTGTGAATGTTTTAAGGATATGTATATAACCGATTGTGAAACCTCTTTTAAATAATTTGTGTTCATATATATGTCATGGGTATTCTTAAACATTTTTTCCACAATTTTACAACAGTGTATCATGTTTACTTTCAATCATGAAAGAGTGCATGAGTGGAAAGGAATTCAATTTGAGTCGTCAATATACAAATCTGAGGTGACCATAGGAGTAGCCTTGTTCAATCAACCATGAAGTTTATATGTGCTGTTGTTTTTCAGATGTGAGGACTGTTGTTTCTTTCTGTTACACTTTGTTTTATTGGTTGTTTTGCTTATATGTTTTTGTTTAAAGGTGTTCCTTGTTCTGGGACCAATTTGTTGTAATTGATTATATTTAAGCATTTATTTTAAAATCTGGTTGGCATTTTAGTTCTACATAGGTAATTTACAGATTGCTAGATTCCTAATATCAGTTTGTATATCAATAGAACCAGAAACACACACCTGAAACATGCTAACCATATCATCTGATTGTGCCTCAAGCACATTTCTTTTTGCCATTAATATTATTGAAACGAGGGCATTAATGCTTTTCAATAATTAATAATTCATTTTGATTAATGATATGAGGCAAACAAAAATTATTTTTTTGCCTGTTTATGTAGACAAACTTGCCACATCATCTAGTTCTGTACTCTTACAGATGTACAATTATTTTACAAAGTTTACATTGAAATAATCATTGGCAGGTAATAGTCCATTGGTGTTAATTTGCATATCATTGCAGTGAAACACCAATGAAGTACTGTTCAAAGTTAAACATTGAGTTAAGATATCATTCAAATACTTAAAAAAATCAAACTCTGAAACATCAACAAAAACTTTTGATTTGAGATTCCATTTTGTTTAGGATTTATGAAACAAGTCTCTAGAATTCATCATTTTAGTAAACCTGTAAGAAACTTCATCCAACTAAGATACTGCTAATGTCACAGAAAACATGGTTTCTTTTGTCAATGTTGAAGACATCTTCACACCATATTAGGGAACTTCATGGTGACGTCATGGTGCTATGTGCCAGTGTGTAACCTTATTTTAATATCATCTAATGACACAATAGGTCACTTAACACTGTATAACAGGACTATCATTTGATAATTTATAATACATATTATACAAAATACATTTCGTATTAAAAGTTTTTATTATTTACATCATATTGAATATTTATTGCAAGGTTACAACAGTTCTGTAGTGCTACTTAAGTATTAAGAGAATAATTTTCAGTCTGATACTTGAACAAATCTAGCTCTCCTATCACTGTCAATATGTTTGCCATTAAGATCACATTATTTACATCAGACTTTAGAAAAGACTTTAACACTGGTATTATGGTGCTCAGTACATATTCAAAGGCTTCATCAATGTTGGCATGATGCTGAGGAACTTTCCATTGAAATTCATAATTCAGTGAATTGTTAGATCCATCTTTACAGAGTGTTGATTGGCTGAAGACTCCCATGGTGTCCATTGTGACATCATAATTTCATGTCATCATTTGTATTGTGATACCACCAGAGATTGATATATTGAGTGACAATATTGCCAGAATAGATCTTATTTCAATTTAATAAATCACTGTTTACATAAAGGTGGTAAAATTATCTAAGTTCTTAAGTATTTAAGAATCTTGCACCTGTAAAGTTTGTGATACTTTACAGAATTTTCAGGACTTTTTATTTCTTTATTTTGATGCTGTCACATTTTAGATTACTTATTTCTCAAATAATATCCATTTTACTGCATGCCTTACTTTAAATCAATGCCTTATTTTGTCTTTTACTATTTGTGTAAATAATACAAATATTTTAGTTATAAATGCTAAACTGTTTTATCATTATTATATACAATATTTATGTTAGTAGCTAATTGATATTTATGTGTATTATTCTGAAAGATATTTTCTTGCATGTTTTCTTATTTTATAGACCAACATTTTTACAAAATCACAACCTCCAGTATAAGAACACTGAGTGGTCACTGTGTTATGTTTAGGATTTGTAATAACTTTATGAGTTGTTCATTTGAGGATTTGTTTTAATTTTATCAAAAAATGTTTACAATTAAATAGTAACAATTTTTCTTCCTTTTTTTTCATGTGATTTTCTTGTGTACGCACATGTATAAACACATAGTTAGATGTATCTGAGTCGTGCTAGAAGTGATCATCAATTTGAATTTTGTTGAGATTGGTTCAAAACATCACCAGGTGACATTGAAGTATTATATCTTACTTCATGGTGACATATGCAATATCTAAGGTCAGTAAAGGTCACAAAGTGCTTTACTCTTAACTACCTCCATGGGTGGTCATCTAATTAGAAGTTTTGTCTGTTGGTCAATGTAAATGTTTATTAGTAGAACAAATCACTGCTACATGTACATATGGAATAAAACACTGCTACAAACTTGTTGTTTTGTTGGGGTTTTTTCTTTAGAGAAGATCAGTGTTTGGGATATGAGAGATCTACTAGTCCTGATATGCAGGAGAATTGCTTCAACGGTAAAAACAACATATTAGAGTATTTTCTGGCTAAAAAGTGTTGCCAACTCACCTGATTTTGTCAGGTCGACCTGATATTGACATTTTCTTGACCAGCTCAAATCAAGAAAAATGCTTGAATCACCTAATGTTTCTTTCCTTTTGATTTTCAAATTTTAAGTTCAATTTTGGATCAAATGTAGTCAAAATAGTGTTCATATGTAATATACAATATTGTTTAAATACCACTGTCGATAACCCAAGGTTCATAAGATGGCACACAGTGTGTGAGCATCAGGACCTTTGGGCTACGGGCGATGTCTAAATACATGCAGATGTGATAACTATAAGGTCTTTTTACCAAATGACCGTTTAAAACGCCCTGTCATCCTTGATTTTGAAGGCCATGAACAAATATTATTAGACAGGAGGTTGGAAACACAAAGTATGACTTGTTTTGCTATTTCATGGTTCATCATATATGCACCCTCAATGAAAAATACTTACCTGGTAGACATGATAATGTGACACACCATTCAGTATAAGTAACAACAAGTTATACAATAAAACTAGAAGTATTTTGCTTTTAGTAGAAGTAAATGTCACACAGATCAGTAATTGTTGTGTACATGTGAGGTTCTATGGGTATCTGAATAAAATTAAAATATTTTTCTGAAATAGTGACCTCATACTGTAAAAGCTATCAACAAAACTAATTATGGTCATCATTTTGACCCTGTTTCTGTTCTGTACATGTTGTTTTCGATATCCATGCTAATTCAGAGTGTTGTACCTACTGTTCCCATTGCCTGAGTGCGAGAGGGGACTGAGCTTTGGATCCATATACCTTTTCTTCTTTGTCTAGCTCATTGTCAGTATAATGTTACCAGATAATTGTTACTAGGACCTGTTAACCTGTTGTCAGTTTAATGTTACCAGATAATTGTTACTATAACTTGGTAGCCTGTTGTCAGTTTAATGTTACCAGATAATTGTTACTATAACTTGGTAGCCTGTTGTCAGTTTAATGTTACCATAATTGTTACTATAACTTGGTAGCCTGTTGTCAGTTTAATGTTACCAGATAATTGTTACTATAACTTGTAAGCCTGTTGTCAGTTTAATGTTACCAGATAATTGTTACTATAACTTGGTAGCCTGTTGTCAGTTTAATGTTACCAGATAATTGTTACTATAACTTGTAAGCCTGTTGTCAGTTTAATGTTACTATAACAGATAATTGTAATTGTAACTGGGACTATAACTTGGTAGCCTGTTGTCAGTTTAATGTTACCAGGTAATTGTTACTAGGACCTGTTAACCTGTTGTCAGTTTAATGTTACCAGATAATTGTAACTAGGACTTGTTAGCCAGTTGTCAGTTTAATGTTACCAGATAATTGTTAGTATAACTTGGTAGCCTGTTGTCAGTTTAATGTTACCAGATAACTGTTACTATAACTTGGTAGCCTATTGTCAGTTTAATGTTACCAGATAATTGTTACTATAACTTGGTAGCCTGTTGTCAGTTTAATGTTACCAGATAACTGTTACTATAACTTGGTAGCCTGTTATCAGTTTAATGTTACCAGATAACTGTTACTATAACTTGGTAGCCTGTTGTCAGTTTATTGTTACCAGATAATTGTTACTAGGACCTGTTAGCCTGTTGTAAGTTTAATGTTACCAGATAATTGTTACTATAACTTGGTAGCCTGTTGTCAGTTTAATGTTACCAGATAATTGTTACTATAACTTGGTAGCCTGTTGTCAGTTTAATGTTACCAGATAATTGTTACTATAACTTGGTAGCCTATTGTCAGTTTAATGTTACCAGATAATTGTTACTATAACTTGGTAGCCTATTGTCAGTTTAATGTTACCAGATAATTGTTACTATAACTTGGTAGCCTGTTGTCAGTTTAATGTTACCAGATAATTGTTACTATAACTTGGTAGCCTGTTGTCAGTTTAATGTTACCAGATAATTGTTACTATAACTTGTAAGCCTGTTGTCAGTTTATTGTTACCAGATAATTGTTACTAGGACCTGTTAGCCTGTTGTCAGTTTAATGTTACCAGATAATTGTTACTAGGACCTGTTAGCCTGTTGTCAGTTTAATGTTACCAGATAATTGTTACTATAACTTGGTAGCCTGTTGTCAGTTTAATGTTACCAGGTAATTGTTACTATAACTTGGTAGCCTGTTGTCAGTTTGATGTTACCAGATAATTGTTACTATAACTTGGTAGCCTGTTGTCAGTTTAATGTTACCAGATAATTGTTACTATAACTTGTAAGCCTGTTGTCAGTTTATTGTTACCAGATAATTGTTACTATAACTTGGTAGCCTGTTGTCAGTTTAATGTTACCAGATAATTGTTACTAGGACTTGTAAACCTATTGTCAGTTTAATGTTACTAGGACCTGTTAGCCTGTTGTCAGTTTAATGTTACCAGATAATTGTAACTAGGACTTGTTAGCCAGTTGTCAGTTTAATGTTACCAGATAATTGTTACTATAACTTGGTAGCCTGTTGTCAGTTTAATGTTACCAGATAATTGTTACTATAACTTGGTAGCCTGTTGTCAGTTTAATGTTACCAGATAATTGTTACTATAACTTGTAAGCCTGTTGTCAGTTTATTGTTACCAGATAATTGTTACTATAACTTGGTAGCCTGTTGTCAGTTTAATGTTACCAGATAATTGTTACTATAACTTGGTAGCCTGTTGTCAGTTTAATGTTACCAGATAATTGTTACTATAACTTGGTAGCCTATTGTCAGTTTAATGTTACCAGATAATTGTAACTAGGACTTGTTAGCCAGTTGTCAGTTTAATGTTACCAGATAATTGTTACTATAACTTGGTAGCCTGTTGTCAGTTTAATGTTACCAGATAATTGTTACTATAACTTGGTAGCCTGTTGTCGGTTTAATGTTACCAGATAATTGTTACTATAACTTGGTAGCCTGTTGTCAGTTTAATGTTACCAGATAATTGTTACTATAACTTGGTAGCCTATTGTCAGTTTATTGTTACCAGATAATTGTTACTAGGACCTGTTAGTCTGTTGTCAGTTTACTGTTACCAGAATTGTTTCTATAACTTGGTAGCCTGTTGTCAGTTTAATGTTACCAGATAATTGTTACTATAACTTGGTAGCCTGTTGTCAGTTTAATGTTACCAGATAATTATTACTATAACTTGGTAGCCTGTTGTCAGTTTAATGTTACCAGATAATTGTTACTATAACTTGGTAGCCTATTGTCAGTTTAATGTTACCAGATAACTGTTACTAGGACCTGTTAGCCTGTTGTCAGTTTAATGTTACCAGATAATTGTTACTAGGACTTGTAAACCTATTGTCAGTTTAATGTTACTAGGACCTGTTAGTCTGTTGTCATTTTAATGTTACCAGATAATTGTTACTAGGACTTGTTAGTCTGTTGTCAGTTTAATGTTACCAGATAATTGTTACTATAACTTGGTAGCCTATTGTCAGTTTAATGTTACCAGATAATTGTTACTATAACTTGGTAGCCTGTTGTCAGTTCAATGTTACTAGGACCTGTTAGCCTGTTGTCAGTTTAATGTTACCAGATAATTGTTACTAGGACTTGTTAGCCTATTGTCAGTTCAATGTTACTATAACTTGGTAGCCTATTGTCAGTTTATTGTTACCAGATAATTGTTACTAGGACCAGTTAGTCTGTTGTCAGTTTACTGTTACCAGAATTGTTACTATAACTTGGTAGCCTATTGTCAGTTTAATTTTACTAGGACCTGTTAGCCTGTTGTCAGTTTAATGTTACCAGATAGAGTGTGCTAGGACTAGTTATCCAGTTGTCAGTTTAATTGTGACCAGGCTGGTGTTCAATACTTGCACTTATAAGCCTGTTGTGAGCTTAATTGGATGGCGTAGGGGTGTCCTGCTACTATCATTCACATTTGTTTGTGATAGTTAATTATCTGTAACTGTTGAAGGGATGGTCTGGAAATTTATCAACATAGTCAGTATATTATGTATCACAATTTTGCATAATATCACTCCAATTTTAAAATGAATGCCAGGTGCCATTTTGACTTTTGTGGTTGGTATTTCTCAATAGCACTGAAGGGATCTTCTTAAAACACCATCAACAGAATCAATATAGGTTCTCATTGTGTATGTCTCATTTTTCTTATAGAACAATTCAGTAACCTATGCTACAGTTTTTGGCAAACTAGAAGCACAGATTGTCATCACAAATATTGATCTGTTTTCAGGTGACTAG